TTTTACCATTTGTCCATCTATTACTACATACGTAATACTTACAAGAACATTGGATGGTTTAAAGTCGTTATGGACTTCTCCCAGATCACGTAATCTTTGTAAACCAGAGAGGATCACTAATAATGCTAACTTCAACTGGTGGCTAGTTAGCTAGTGAAATGAAAACAAAAAAAAATGTGAAACATTAACTTTACCGTTGTTTGATATAATCTGAATTAATTATCGTCTATGAAATTATAAATATCAAAACCAATAAATCCGCCGTTCACTGGTAGCATAGTGGTTGTCGCATCAGACTCATGATCGGTAGACCCAAGTTGAATTACTACCTCAGTCTGAACACCAAAAGGATCAAACCCTACCCTGGGTGAGTGTGCCACAGACTCAATGGCCCAGATTCATTCACTAACAAATGCGACTTTGGGGGAACCTTGGTTAAGGTCCTCAGGTGCTTGTGTTCGACCGAGCCTGGTTGACGCCAGGATAGCACCAGAAACAGTGACATTCAATGTCCGGAACTGTCGCCTGGCTCAAAAAATATTATAATAATAAAAATATAGTACTTACCATATTAGCATACACCATTTTTTCACGATCATGACCTGGAAAGTAGTTCATTGCTCATTTTTTCGAACGCGCGAACCCAGAAATATCGCCCGTCTGCATGCTCGCATTTTAAATACATGGCCGTGGCATCAATATGTTCCTGGTGTCTCTGCTCTCTGCCCTAAGGGGTTAGCATTGCCTGTATCACGTAATTGTCTCGATAATCATATTGTTGAAAGGAGGTAACAGCCCTGGGAAGAAATTAAAAATTTGCAGTTGTATTTTTGTGTCCATCGTAGCCACCTGCACCATCTCTCAAAAATAATTCCTGCTGAACAGGGCTTTGTGATCGGCAGTCAACTGCACATTTAGATTGCCGGAGCAATAACGCTCAAGATGGTGCATGTCTGGCAGTGTTTTGTGCAACTTACAAGAAAGTATGGTCAAGAACAAATCAGTAAAAGGAAAAATTAAATAAATTGTCAGTCACAGTACACGACAGAACATGATTTTTTAGCTTTCAAAGTCAAATAAAAAATTGACCCAAGTATCTAACCACCTTTTCTGGCAATTTTCCCCCTGGCTAACCTTTGATTGAGATGATTGGCTTCAAAATAAAACCCATGCGACACAACACGGTCTTTTTTCGTGTGCAATGGAATTGTTAATGATTTTGACCACCAGTGCACCATCAACCAATATAAAAGATTTGAACTGGATTTATATTGGGCATTGGGTCGGAACTATGTTTGCCATTCACAATTACCAAAACTTTTAAAAACTATCAACAAACAAATAATAGATCCAAATAAAATAAAATAAAATAAAATAAAATAAAATTAAATTAAATTAAATTAAATTAAATTAAA